TGCTTATCAAACAGATTCAGGTCTCTGGAGTTGAGGAAGAATGAAGCAACAGCTGTCCTGTTAAGGGTCTTCTCCTGGGAACCCTCTCCTCAAACTTTATCTACTCTTTTGTGCCTTATTGGCCCTTCAAAGCAAATTCTTGAATATTTCTAGGAAACACATTCACTTTTCTAAAATAATATTCTAAATCCAGTAAAGATGCCACACCAGACTATGACAGCAGGAGTGCCCCATCTTCCAACAAAAGGACCCTGCTAAGCCCTCCACCCCTCTTCTTTGGAGCTTGAGTCACCAGCATGGGTTTTGAAGCATTGAGTGGGGGTGGTGACGTTCTCATCTGTTATCTCTTATTCTCCTCTGGCTTATTGGAAGAGGTACTCAAAGAAGCCAAAACTGTTCTTGTAGTTGGAAGTCATACAATGACAGAGGGGTCTCAAGAAAATGCTTCAGGATATCTTTCGCCAATGAAGTCATTAAAGACCTCATGGTTTCAGGTCACCGTTAAGCAGATGGAAAAAGGGCCAGGTCACTGATGCTCACTGCGCAAAGTGTACTGAGTCCCCACTGGCCAGTACTGTGACAGATGGGAGGGCTTTGCATAACTGTAGTAGCCAATGGCAAGTCAACTGCCTCTTAGGAGAGCTCTTCTACCTTGCAGTCACCACTCCCTTCTCAGACAACTCAAGTAATGGGAGAGTAGTTCTAGCTAATGAAGCATTCATCTTCTGTAAATGCTACAGCAATGCCTGACATCTGTATGTGTAAATTTCCAAAGGTCCAATGTCTCCATATTTATTACACTTAATGTAGCCTGATGTTTATGGAGTTTCTTCATGGACAAGAATCTTAATCCATATGTTCACCATCATTTCTATCAGGCATTACAACTATCTTAAAATGGTTATACACGTCAAAGCAATTATTAAAATCTATTGGAGAGTATTTTTAAATTAATTTTAATCGGTTGAGGTAATGACAGAAACAGTAATTTTTCAGTTTCATTGCATGACAAAAATTGACATAGGGCCACATTTATGAAGCCAAAGTTGGAGAAGATGACCCATATTATTACAATTGATGGATTTGTGCAACACAGTGAAAGTGGGACAAGGAGACTGCATTGGCTTTTACCATTTCAGGAAATCAAGTCACTTGAATGCTTGTTCATCTTTGATTTGTTGTTTTGAGATATTGTAAATCTATATTTCTAGACACTGACTGAAATTGACCAAGAGGAAAACATAAATTCTTGTTGACTTAATTTGCTATTGAAAATTGTAGTCAATAATCATGAAAAGTAAATGGCTGCACAGTGCAATATTAGTTGCCTAAGAAAAGATTAAAATTCAAGTAATCTTCATTGATTAGTCTAAGACAGTAACTAAAATGAAAATCCATGACCCAATTACCATGTTAAGCAGCTAGCATAAGGTCTTAGTTGTTCTGTCTTATTTGAAGTCTCAGTCTATTTGATGGTGCCCATTTCATGGGCACATAAATCAGTTTGAAAGCACAGTAATACTTCTAGGATCACAGATGTCTTGTGTGAATATGACCAAAGAATATTTTAAAATGGAGTTTTGTATAATGGAGTACTTTGGTTCTTCAATATAACAATTTAAGGTCAAGGGCTCATTATGCTTGGTGTTGGGGTAGCACATTCTGTCTGTACAAGTTGCAGTATATGTCACAGTAGTATTTAGTGTATTGCTTATTTTTAAGTAATGTATAAGCATAGTATTTTTTAAAAAAATATTCTTCCACTGATTGTTTATTATACTATTTATTGCATGATCGGGCAGTTTAGTCCTAGGGCAAAATAAGTAGGAACCATCCTGAAAAATGATGGGATTAAAGTCTGCATTGTATTTTCCATAAAAATCTAATTAACAGTAATCTTGAAAGGTTGCAAATATCACACTGTAGCACACTCCATTAGACATTTGCATTTGTCATGGAGTTGTGCTTCAAGGACATGAGGTTATTCCTTGGATGCATATGTATGCATATATCTAGATCTATATATACAAATGTCTATATAGATGTCTATATCTATGTCTATGTGCATTTTTATATATGCCCTTCAACATAAGTAAATTATTGTCAATTAAAATATGACTTTAGCTGAGAATAATAGCATCAATGGGAAAGTCAGAATAAAGAGAGATAAGACTTTATGAAATCCTACACTTTTTGTTTTCCATAGAAATAATTCATCCAGGAGAGCAAATAGAAGAAAGGAAGAAAAGCTATTTCCTCCTCCTCTTTCCCCACTGCCAGAGGACCCTCCACGTCGCAGAAATGTCAGTGGAAATAACGGTCTCTTCAATCAAGACAAGAGCATCTCCATGACTGGACAAATCACCTCTACCAAACCTAAGAGAAGTGAAGGCAAATTCTGTGCTACTTTCAGAGGAATATCCGTAAATGTAAGCATGTTGGAAGAAATATTATAATTGTCAGACAAAAGCAAGTTAATCCAGGTCATCTAACTTGACTTGACCAAATGGAGATGTTGCAAGGGGAGAGGAAAAAGAGGCAGAGAGGAAATACAGATGTGTGTGTGCATGTGGTGTGTGTGTGTGTGTGTGTGTGTGTGTGTGTGTGTTCACAAATACACAAACTCACAATTCAAATTTTAATTAGTCCAACTCAGCATGAATTTTTATTCCAGATTAACTTTTTATCTTACTTCCCCAAACAGATTGCACATGCAAAGATTCAGGGCCTTGGACATCATTTGGTCCAATCTCTTCATATCTTGGGGTTGGAGAGGACATTTCCATAATATTGACCACAGAATCTGGTACATGGTAGGCACTGATTATTTAGGGAATGAAAGACAAATGGATGGGATGATATTGTCCAAAGTCACTCAACTGGGGCTGGAACTTCAAGTTGTAGCTTTCCATCATCCTGTTTTGCAAATATGAATAGTATTGTAAAATAATGACTAAATAGGATAGAATTTAAAAGGAGAATATGCTGCTAAAATCACACAATAATGATTCTAAGCCCAACTGAAGGATTATCCAGTCCTCTGGATTTTCTGCACCGCTGGTTGATTAGCATAGGTAATTGAAAATGTTGTATCACATTTCCCTCCCAAACACAATTGTTTTTTCATTTGTCTCAGGTATAGGTACATGAACTGTGGAAACTAGTAACAGTGCCACTAGTGAATGTTAATGACAAATGTATCTGCCTTTCCATGTAAATGCATGTATGTTCAAATGTAACATTCATATGCATCTAATCTCCTTTAAATGTAACATAAAAAGTAAATGGGTAAACAAGATTTTTTATCAATATTTTTTATTATGATATTGTGGGGTACAGTTAAGGGTTAGGTATACAAATATGCTTCGTTCAGGCACCCTTGTTGATAAGAGGTGTCTCCCCATCCCCAAACAGATATTTACTACTGTTAATCCCATCTCCCTTCCCCTCCCACCCCCATAGTTTCCCACCACTGTCAGTCATTGGATGTTCAAAGTCCACTATATGAGTGAGAACATGTGATACTCAGATCTTTGTTTCTGTGAGAGGTCACCTGGATGGACTCTAGTTCCATCCAGGTTGCTACAAAAGTCATGATTTTGTTCTTTTTTATGGCTGCATAGTATTCCATTGTGTATATGTACCACATTTTTTTAATCGAGTCCTATTTTGATGGACAGCATGGTTGCTTCCAGGTTCTTGCTATTGTGAACAATGCTGCGATAAACATACGTGTGCAGGTATCTTTTTGATAGAGTGATTTGAGTTCTTCAGGGTATATTCCCAGTAGGGAGATTGCAGGGTCATATGGGAGGTCAATATTTAGAGCTTTTAGGAATCGCCATAGTGTTTTCCACAGAGGTTGTACTAGTTTGCACTCCCACCAACAGTGTAGAAGTGTTCCCTTTTTGTCACACCCTCTCCAAAATTAATAAGTTTTTCAGTGTCTGATGTTAACTTGGTAGGCCCTGTACCAAAATTGTCCATTTAACACTCCATGAACTGGGAGCTTGGCTTGCAACTGTAAGTCCAACTACTCAGGAGGCTGAAGTGAAAGTATTGCCTGAGCCCACGAGTTCAAGATTGCAGTGAACTATGATGTGACCACTGCATTCCAGCCTGGGTAGCAGAGTGAGACCTCCACCTCTATTATAAAAACATACTCCATTAAAAGCCATGAAACCTCTGAGCTTTAAAGACTCCAATTTATAGTGCTTCATCATTTGAGATGATTGAGGTGGCATACATGTGCAGATAAATTTCATTGCTGATATAAAAAATATTATACCAGTATAAAGTTGTCATTTCCTATGTGAAATGCATATGTGTATATACACATAATATTTGCATTCATATTTAAAGGCACTGACTCTATAATGTTAGGAATTAAGCCAGTAATTCTAAACAGTAATTACACTATCTATCCTATTTTTCATACTGAATGTATTTAGCATTATGAATTCTCACTGGTGCTCTCTTCTAGTAAAAGCTTTTAGAGGGCATATACCATATCCAAGGAATTTTCTTTATATGGTACCTAGTATATTGTCACAAATAATTAGGTGTTATAAGTAATGCAGATTTTATTATGACAGTGATAATGCTTACAAGAATCTGCAAAATCATTTCCACAAGAGCTAAAAACTCCTAGGAAAACCAGATAAAGATAACATTTGCTCTTAGGAATGCATCATCTTTCCTAAGGGAATCAGTTTGGTTCCCTATGATAGGAGTGAGCAACAAGTACCTTTTCTTGGGCCAGTCTTTCTATCAATAGTTCAAAATCTGGGAGACTTTGTGGTACAATTTTTGCCTTAGCCTGGGAATTAAAACACTTAACTCTTAACTTGTATAGTGCTAGCGCTATAAGACATTTGCCTCGTGACCTTGGGCAAATCATGAAACGTCTCTGAGATCATAAAATGAGGAATTTAACTAGATGATCTATAAACCTTCTTCTAGTTTCAAAGGTGTTTGCAATTTTCTGCTTTCAGAGTCTTCTGTATTCCATTAAGGCATGAAGTCCTGTTTATTGACTTAATGAGCGGGCAAGTGTAGACAGATAACATGTTTATATAATGTACGATCATGGCTGAATTCAGCCATTTCCAGTCAGATTTGCCAGGACTGATATCAATGTCATGTGTAGTGGATGTGCTGTTTCAGGGTTTTTGTCACATATCTTAGTCATAGAGACAAGTGGCACTGTCTTGGGCTGACCCCATTATTTGGTCTGGGTCAATCCGGCTCTGATAGTGGAGAAATGGAGTTGGCTTACGAGTTTTCTTACAGCTCTGATTCCTTTACCTGTTTGGGTTAAATAAAATATTTATTTTCTCCATATCCATCACAACAATTTGTAGATATGTAGCTTCTCAGCACATTTAGCTCAGTGAGATCTAGGAGTAAGAATTATCTGATAATCAGGAGGTCCAGGATCGAGTGGTAACAATCAAATGAATATAAGGAGTAGATCACATTTGACTTTTATCTTTAAATTGACCATTTTGACTAAGGAAGGCACCCATGTATATGTGCAGCATGCCTTCAGCAAACACTGAGAACACTGAACTGTGGGTTGGAAGGACAGTATCATAAATCAGAGATGGCTTCAGTCCTTAAAGATTTCTCAGTCTAGGGTGAGCGATGAGACATATGTTCAAAGGACTAGAATATAAAATAGCTGGTGGTTGGTGTCTTAGGGCAGGGATAGAGACAGGCCCCTGAATGATCCAAGGAGGATCAGCAGTTTTCCTGTTGCAGAAGGCATTTGTTGAGCTGAGCCTTAATAGATGAGTAGGGTTTTTAAATGAAGAGAAGTGGATAAACAAAATGTGGTCTATCCACACAAAGGAATATTATCCAGCCTTAAAAAGGAAGGAAATCCTGTCATATGCTAAAAATGGATGATCCTTGAGGATATTATGATAAGTGAAATAAGGCAGACACCAAAGGACAAAGACAATATTATTCTTCTTCTGTGAGGTCCCTAGTATAATCACACTCATAGAGACAAAAAGAGAATGGCCAAGAGCCAAGAGATTGCCAAGAGCCAAGGCAAGTGGGAAATAGGGAGATATTGTTTACTGAGTTCCAGTTTTGCAAGATGGAAAGAGTTATAGAAAGTGGTTGCATAATAATGTGTGTGTACTTAACACCTGAACTGTGGTTACGATGGTAAATTTTATGATATGTGTATTTTATCACAATTTAAAAAATCCAATAAAAATTATAAATAGGACAAATTATCACAAGATAAAAATAAAAGAGAAAGAAATAAAGGGAAGACTTTTTGAGATCTAAAATGCCACATGAACCAACCAAATCAAGGAAGTACAGAAAGTGGGTCATGTTTGGTTGAAGCCAAGGTTCGTGAAAGAGAATGGCTGGAGATTGGGCAGAAAGCTGAAGCCAGATCAGGGAGTGCCTTGTATGTCAGCCTTGAGTTTGCATTTGGGTGCAAGTCAGTGAGATGCCCGAAACTTTGTTCAGGAAGTTCAGGCAGGCAGGCAACAGAATGAGGGTGGAGGGAGAAGCTAGATTGGAGGCAGAGTGTCTGGCCGGGAGACCGTTAGTCTCAGTGAGAAGCCATGAAGGCCTGCACTTTAAAGCTTTGAGGAAGTAAGAGACAAATTTGAGAGATGCTGGGGAGATACAATGAATAGTAGTTTGTAATGAATTGGATAAGGGTAATGGAGAGGAAGAAATTAAAGATGAAATAGACCAGTGGTTTTGAAAAAGAGATTTAGGAGCATTATCATTTTTCAAAATGAAATAATTAACAGAACTTTAAGGTATAAAGCTGATGAGAGCAGAGTAGTTCTAATGAAAAGCAAGCTAGGGAGTCCCTACCTTGGCAATTTCAGTGTCTCTAGACCAGGGACTACCGCGGTTCCCTGTGGAACTGTGCCAAGCTCAATTTGGAAGCTCCTTGCTGATATGAAGAAATCCAGTTTTGAAGACGGAGAAGATAATCCTGTCATTAAGAGAAAGAGAAAACTGGTTTATTTATCAATTTGATTTGTGAGAAGTTCGAGATGCTAATGGTCATCTTGGTGGAACTGCCCAGAAGTGGTCACTGCAGGTCCCGAGATTTGGAGAGAGGGCATGATCGAGGTTTCCACGTGGGAGTTATCTGCTGGTTGTTGAATCTGTACCAACAACATACAAGACTGACAAATCTGATCAAGAAAGAAGAGAGCTAAGGCATGAACTTTGAGGCATACCAACCTTGAGGCGATACTAACTTAGAAGAGCAGATGGAAGGAAAGGCACCCTGGGGTGTATGGTCAGAGGGAGAACAGTCAGGAGGATCCCATGGTTGCCAGGTGGGGAGGGCAAAGTTGGCCCCATGAACCTGGCAGGTGGTCTTATGATACCACATTTTCTCATAATTATAAATCTTACCACCTCCTCTCTCCAGCTTCTCTACAACAATGATAGCTCAAAGCGTAGCTCTCATAAGTCTCTTACCCATTTGATCTTGGATCTGGTTGACGTGAAGCCTCACCATCCCATGACTTAAAAAATGAAGATGCACACTTGCATGGCATTCACTTAGCCAGAACCCAGTCAAGTGCCTCACATGAACAAAAGGACAGTATCAGACTGGATCCAGTCAGGACATGGCTACTTGCATTACAATTTCCTGGTATTTTGCTGGTCTGTATCCAATATTTTTCAGAGTGACCTGAGGACTTCACTTACCCTAGAGCTTCGAGGCTGCTTCCCTCATCAAAAATACCCACATAAGTGTCAAGGACTCTATTCAATCACTCTCTCTCTTCCCTCTCATTCTCTCTTACCCCCTTTCTCCCTCCCTCTTTCTCTCTCCTCCTTTCTATACTCTTCGTTCCCCTGCCTCATCGGATATAGACCTTTGCCATGGCTGTCTAATGGTATGGCAGGGCTATGTAATCACGGCACCTGATTAGTTTGGTGTTTGGTATCATAGAACAAAAGCTCGTGATTCATAACATTCATAAAATATACCAAAGTCACCTATTTATCCTCAAGCTGTATGCATTGTTTTCATTTTTCTTGCCTTCTCTTTTACAGTGCTTGATATTCAGAGCATTTATGAATAGGTGTTCTCAAAATCTGGATCTAATGGAAGCTATTTGTCCTCATTTTTCCCAGGAGGGAGACACTCAAAAAAAGGCAACCTCTGCCATCATCACTGTCACCAACACTGCTATTGCCACTGCCACTGTCACTGCTACTGCCATTGTTACTGCCACTGTCACAGCTACCACCACTGCCACGGCCACCACTACAACCACTACCACTACTATTTCCACCATCACTTCTACTATCACTACTGGCCTCATGGATAGCAGTCACCTGGAGATGACATCCTGGGCGGCTCTGCCACTTCTGTCCAGCAGCAGCATTAACGTCCGGAGACCCAAGCTCACTTTTGATGACTCGTATGTTGTCCCCAGATTATCATGGATATGGTTTGGGAGTAGTGAATGGGGGTGGGATAGCATGGCTTTTCTAATGCCATGCATGTGTCACCTCAAATAAGACGTCAGCATTAGTTCCTGCAGCCTAAAAGTATACTCTACCCCCAACACACCTCCACCTCTGTCCCCACTAAGAAACGTCTTTGACCCAGTTTAATCATGAACTTTCTTACTGTTTCCAAAGTCAGGTCCTTACTTTTAGCTTCTTTTGTCCTTTCTAATCTGTGTCGTCACATATAACTGTGTGTCAACACATAGATTTGTAGCTAAGCTTCATTCGATCTATCTGGAGAACTGTAATGGTCGGGATTGGATGATGTGGTTATTTATTCTAATGGGCCATTATACTCTTCAGATATGATTTACAGTATTGTTTCAATGTTGGTTATGGCAAGAATGATAGCATTAGTCTGCCTTTTTAAAGCATAATATAAGAATAGATTTATAGCAAAAAAATGATGATTCAGTCTTAACGAAATATGAAACATTTTTTTCTGAAAGAGCTCATTTTGTTTGTTTAGGGTTCACAATGCTGATTATTACATGCAAGAGGCGAAGAAACTGAAACACAAAGCTGATGCACTGGTAGGTTTCCTTCCTCTCATTGTTTTTCTCCCATTAAGGTATTATACCACGAAGAAAAACAGAGAAGGCACTTTCCAAAGAGTCAACCTTTCAGTAGCACAGCCCATACCCGCTTGACAATGCATTGCTGCTCCGACATAGGGAGATTCGGGCTGGTTCATTCCCAAAGTTCTCTGAGTGATGTTGTTTTGTCATTATTCGTTTTCCCACTGTTCTCCCCCTTGCCCCAACTTCAAAGCCTCAATGGCATATAGCATTGTCATTATCTTTCAAGTGAATTTGAAATGACTTTTGAAGCTGCCCTGGAGATGATGGGCGTTCCCACTGTGTTCAGTCAACCAGAACTGGTGTGGGGAGGGGAGGGTAGTTGAGGACTGGCTAAGTGGCCTCAAAAATTGACTTTGGGAAACTTGGGTCTGTAGAAAAATTGCAGTTTCAGCCGGGCTCGGTGGCTCAGGCTGTAATCCCGCGCCTTTGGGAGGCTGAGGTGAGTGGATTGCCTGGGCCCGCGGGTTCGAGGCCCGCCTGGGCAGCGAGATCTCATCTCTACAATAAATTAAAAAATCAGCCGGGCATGGTAGCGCATGCCTGTAATTCTGGCTACCATAGTCAGTCTGGGACCCCAAGGGGAGACGGGAAGTGCTGTTACCTAAATTTCCCAAGACACTTTGCCCAGATACCTCCAAGGATTTTTGGCTACTTAGACCAGTGGTAAGCTCAACATGTTTGACTCAGTTGATCCTCCTAAACAGTGGGTCTTAATCATACATCACTTGGAAAGCTTTAAAATAAACCTGAGGCCCAGGCCATACCCCTGATCAATGAAATCATGATTTCCAGGACTGGGACCCAGGCATGAGTATTAAAGTTCTCCAGATGACACTCAAGTGCAACCATTTAAGAACCACTGTCCTGGAGAAGGCCCTAAATTCAGAGTCCTCACCATTAACTAAACTCCGGAATAATTAGATGTATCAGTTCAACAGCATTGTAGAAAAAAATAATAGCATCCTTCTTCATTGCATTTTGTCCAGCCAGGACTTAGCTGCTCCATAGTTTTTGACATAGGGAATGCTGTGATGAAATACCATTACTCATGGGTGGCCAACAGCAACTGCCCATGGCCCTTATATCTGCCACTTGCCTGCTTTCTGTCATTTTCTCCCTGTGATCCAAATTGCTCAGCTATTGTCTGCAGCTAACCTTTCTGTGGTGTGAATTGAGCCTTGGAAACAATTGTCCCCTGCTTCTGCAGACAAAAATGACAAGGCAGATTGGGTGCCAGCTCCACTGGTGATGCCAGAAAGACTGTGCCTGTGAACATTGTATGAGTGCCAAGAGATTGGGTGGCAGTGCTGCTAGTTCTTGGACCAAAGGTTTTATCTGAATGTCCTCAACTCCACGGCACTTCAGAGCACTTCAGTGTTCAAGAGTTTGCCATCTGAAAAAATTGGGGCAAGGGAGCACACAGATGTTCCTTGACTGTTACATGAGCTGATGAAGACTGGGATGCACATAGGAGACCACGTAGGTGAAATGTGTGAAGAACTGGAAAAAAATCAGAGCCACAAAGATATGTACATATGATTAAGATTTAATATGATTCTACCTTCCTGGGTTGCATTTATATGTATGTCCTTCCAAACTACTTTTGGTCTAATCCATTTAGAGAATACTTTCACAATTGGGACGATATTGCCCCCTTAGTGCAAAAATTGGGTTTTGAAATGGCGTGAAAAAGTCTTAGATGTTGCAGTGGGCCGTGACCCTCCAAAAGACCACAGTGCATAAAGAGGTAGTAAATATATTTAGAGTATGAGTATTTCATTGGGGATGTGTGAAAAATTACAGTCGTCCCTTGGTATCTGTGAAGGATTGGTAACAGTGCTCCCACTCGGATACCAAATTCCAAGGGTCCTCAAGTTCCTGTATTTGCAAATAACATAGACACATCCTCCCACATACTGTATATCATCTCTAGATTGCTTATAATAGCTAATATAATATAAATGCTGTGTAAATAGTTGTTATACTGTATTGTTTAAGGAATAATGACAAGAAAAAAGTCTGTACACGTTCGGTACAGACAACCATTCATTCTTTTTTTTAAATTTATTTATTCATTATAAAGATGTGGGATCCATTCATTCTTTTTCAAGTATTTTTGATCTGAGATCGGTTGTATCCATGGATGTAGAACCCACAAATACAGAAGGCCAACTTAGCTTAAAAAAAAATATCTCCCTGGGAGTAGTGATAATGGAAACAAAAGTTGAGAAACACTCAGTTAGAGGCATATTTTCACTGGGCTTATGCCTATATCAGCACAGAAAGCATCCTTGTGGTTCAAGCCTCTCATTTAATAGATCGAGAAACAGGCCCAGGGACAGGGCTTGACTCGGCCATTAGTTGGCACAATGGCAATGTCATTTTCTCTCTGGATTAGTTTCACTTCCCTTGGGGGAAGGAGGAATTTGGTCTAGATGATCTTCAAGGATCTTTTCAGTTATGTGGCTGTGAATAAAAAGTCACTTTCAAAAATCAGGGCGCAAAGATTAATTTCTAAATAGAAGAGCCCATAAGAACCAGAAGACCTGCAGAAATTATCTTGTAAAGCAAGAAAGAGTATAGTCTGCATACACATACACAGGTTTTCACAAAATCAGTTGGAATTTGGTTGAAACCAATTTCTCCACAGTAGCTTACAGAAAGAAAACCACAGAATTCCTGCATCACATAAAAACTGAAGAGCATTTATTGTAAAGAGAGTCATTTACTATAAGAGATTCTGCAGGACCTATAACTAATCATTTTACAGTTGTACTTAATCCTTTGCTAGAGACAGCTACTCTGCCATTTTGAGAATTGAAACTTTCATAGTTGCATAGAAAACATTTTGATAAAAGATATACAAGAAAATTAAAATAGCTAAATCTGCATTATATTGGTTCTTTTACATAAAATACCATATTAGTGTTACATCCTGCTATCAAAAATTGAAAATGTTAAATCCTGTTATAAAATACTTACTATAAAAGTGTCATATATAATATTCATTAGACATAAAAAAGAAATCAGTATGTCTAAGTCAGTTTAATCGTAACCATTATCAGGGCTAAAACCTTTTGCAATAAAATTTAACTAAACTAAAATATTTAGTAGTGCTATATTTTTTAGCTTTTCGACACACTATTTCAAACCATCATTTACAATGAAAGTGATGTGATTATAGTCAACAATCATGCTATAGCTTCACATTTTTCATGACAATAGCATCAATTTGTTACTCTCCTCCTGGTGGTGAGGTTGATGTGCTCAAAAAGCAAAGGCTGTATGAGTTCACCATCCATGAGGCTTATAAAAAGCAGTTTAGTTGTAAGCACTGTCTATAGGACTTTACAATGACCATTCAGTTTAATAAATTTAGTGAATCACAAAGTAGTTGAGGCATTGATTTGGATTCTGGTCCACCAAAAAGATAATAACAATACCGCAAACCACAAATGATACACCTTGGCTGCATTTTTCTCTTCTTCGCCAGCCTCAGTGTCATGGTGATAGAACCTTAAAAAAACCACTTGCATCATTGTTAATTCCAGTTCATACATTGTCCTCTCTCTCCATTGGTGTTTCTCAGCCTGGGCACTAGGGTCATCTTGATCTGGCTCTTGCCCATTGTGGGGACTGTCCTGGGCATGGCAGGATGGTTGGCAGCATTTCTGACTCCTGCCCACCAGATGCCTCCTTTCCCCAGTGGTAATAACTAAAAGTGTCTCCAGACATTGCCAAATGTTCCCTGTGGCAAAACTACTCCCTAAGTAACAAACCCCTCTTTTATATGAAAGGGAAAAGAAAAAGTATTCTGTTGATGAGTCATCTTCTTGTTTCAGTTCGAGAAATTTGGCAAAGCCGTGAATTATGCCGATGCTGCCCTCTCCTTCACCGAATGTGGCAATGCCATGGAACGTGACCCTCTGGAAGCAAAGTCCCCATACACTATGTACTCTGAGACCGTCGAGCTCCTCAGGTGAACGACTTTCTTCACTTGTCTTCCTGCACTCATTTCAGCTAGATTTAGAAGCTATGTTTTAAAAAACATCATTTCCGTGTATTAATAATTTGTCTAAGACATCTTTTTCCTAGAAGTCATCATAATTAGTTCTTGCCATTATATTAATGTCATGGAAAATTTATAATTGATGGACACTGCTTTTATAAATTATCCCCTTCAGAGGTTATAGCGTGAATGTTATAATTTACAATATTCATAACATTAAAATGGAAAGATAGTGGGTGGAAGTAAAGCATAATCAATTCACCATTTAGCATCCACTTGTCTTTTCAAAGGTGCAGTATTAGAATTCAAAAAAGTGGTGCTCTTAAAATTTCTATTCTAAACGTGTTTTTAAAGAATTTTTATTTTGGTTATTAAAATGGGAGGGGGTACTCTTTCAACTCAGAGTTGGTGTTTAAGACCACAGGTGTGGAGTAGACTTTTCCATGCATCTGAAATAAGGGAAACAGATGAGGTGATGGCGAGTGGGGGAGGGGGGTGGGGGTTAGAGACCAGAGGATGAAAACAGGACAAGGATATTAACTGCATACATTATTGGTTTCATTTACATTTTAAATGAAATTTTCTGGCCTGTTAGTCTTGGTGGGATTTTTTTTTTTTTTTTTTTTTTTGGAGTTGGAGTCTCACTCTGTTGCCCAGACTAGAGTGCAGTGGCCGCTCCCGGCCACTACAGCCTCAACCTGCTGGGGCTCCGGTGATCCTTCCGCCTCAGCCTTCCAAGTAGCTGGAACTACAGGCGTCCGCTACCATGCCCGGCTAATTTTTTGATTTATTGTAGAGATGAAGTCTCACCAAGTTGCCCAGGCGGGTCTCGAACCCACGGGCTCAGGCAATCCACTCGCCTCATCCTCCCAAGGTGCAGGATTACAGGCTGAGCCACCGAGCACAGCATGGGATATAATTTGTGGGGCATCAAAAAATTCCTAGAAAAAAAGGAAGAAGAGATAGAAGAAAAATAAATCCATTCTGCTGTTTTCCAGTGATTTGATGATATTTGTAAAATAATTTAATCCACCCCTGAATAGTGATAAACACCACCATTCACTGGATGGACTAAATAATCACTTTTGATTGAGTAAGCAGTTCTTTACCTGATAGGTTCTTATGTCCCAGTCTCCTCTGGCTCAATTAATCAATAATGCTAGGACTAGTTTTTAGTATCTTGCTTGTATCTGCATAAACTGTTTCAAATCTGAGGACATGTATACCTAAATCTTCAGACACACAATGGACAGATTTAAGCATATATATTTTTCCAATGAAGCATTCCAAAAGATCAAAATAAGAGAACTGTTAAAAAAATCTCTGCTCACATAGAATCAGAAGTTTAGTTAGAGCCACCGGCAGCTCCAGCCTGGCCTACAAGGGCCAGTCTGCCATCTTTCTCTTTGAGATGTAAGCACCAGAGAAGAGTGTGAAATATTTCTCTTCAACTTTATTCACTGTCGAAGGCAACACCACCATCATGTACCTTTCAAGGGGAAATTTATTGCTTAGTGTCTAGTCAAGGCTACCTGCAATTTTCAAATATGCACAAGGTGACCATTCTGGCAAAAATCCTAAGGATTCAAAATTGAGAGGAAACATTAGTAAATCAATATTAAGAAGATTCATACTTTCCATCCAAAAATGCAAATTAAACCAATGCACTTTTAAAATTAACAAGAAAATGTAACAATTTTAATACCCAGCATTAACATCTACAACAATAAAAGGCTTACTAGTGAACTAGGCCTCTCCTGGGTTGCTGATGGGAGAGAATAATGATCATTGTAAATTGAGGGCAATTTGGTATTGTGTAGGAAAAGTCATGCAAATGAGCACTCGTATTTTTTGATCCAGTACTTCGGCTTCCAAAAATTTGAATTTTGTCTACTGAAGAAAATTGTAAGATCAGAACAGGTTGTCTGCACAATGTTAAGCTTGGCATTATATATAATAGCACACAATTGGAGACAAACCAAATAATCAATAATAGAAAGATAATTAACTGCATAGTAGTGCACTGAACAGAATACTTTGCATCCACTGAAATACAACAATGATGGACACTATGCCATTGTAAAAAATGTTTGCAGATAGATGTTAAAGTAAAATCAAGTTTCAGAATTACATGCACACTAGTTACAACCATGAAAAGCATGTGTATGCATCTGGGCTAAACTGGAAGGGAAATGAGATCATAGCTGTAATAAGGGGTGAGATTATGTGTTTTCCTTCTCATCATTGTTTTTTCTTTTTAATTTTCTTGTAGGAAAACACATGCTTTCTTAAAAATATAAGAGCAAAAATACCACATTTTATGGTAAAAGTGCAATGTGAATCATTAAGTAATTTTTTTAATCAATATTTTTTATTATGATGTGGGGTACAGTTAAGGGTTAGGTATACAATTACGTTTCATTCAGGCACCCTGTTGATAAGAGGTTGTTTCCCCATCCCCAGACAGATATTTGCTACTGTTAATCCCATCTCCCTCCCCCGCCATAGTTTCCCAGTACCGTCAGTCATTTTCTTATAGTATTACATTGGATGTCCAAGGTCCATTTATTTCCATTAGAAAACTTATTTCCCCTTAATTGTTTACCTTTAAATGTTCTTTAAGAAAAATAAAGCATGATTTTTTAAAATTATATGACATTTTATTCCTCATAAAAGTATATTTCAATGGAACATGAAAGTCAATGAAGAATTTATGGACATTCACTTTAAAGCTAATATTTTTAAACTTTATTTTGAGATAATCAGGGATTAACATGCAGTTGAAGATCTAATACAGAGATGTCCTGTGTAACTTTCACCCAGTCTCCTCCAAGGAGAATATCTTACACAACTATAGTGCAGTAACATAGCCAGGACATCGACACTGATTCATCCCGTGGACTACATTTGGATTTCACCAGTTTTGTTTTGTTTTTGATTTTACCACTTTTCCATACACTAATTTGCCTGTCTTGTCTACATACATTTTTTAAAGTTTTTACAATTTCTGTAAATTGTGCGTGTGGATAATTTTCATGAGAGAAATTTCAGTTGGAAATAAAATGAGTTACTAGGTCTTCTGGTCCATTTAAGCAATTGAAACTTCACTATCAAGTCACTTCAAATGTGGTTGCAATTAGAGGATGAATGTAATATGAACACAGTTTTTAGTAGTGCAATATGATCTTGAAAATATGTTTATTACTCTCCCCTCAACAGTATGCTGGCTACAGAGAGAGAGCCCCATTTTCTTTATTCAAGTAATTATACTTGTTTTGAGTCCTGGGAATCTGCAATCGAAATGTATTTGTGAAAACAAGTGGGACGTCACAATGACTTGACATTTCAGTGATCCAACTATCAGGGAAAGTTAGATTTATTACACAATAAAAATCCTTTCGCTTAATATTGCAACCAAAGAAAGGGTCCACATCAAGTGCATAAGTCTCTTGGCTGGAAAATGTGTACTCAGTGGAACTGGAACAATAGCAGGGAAAGCAAAGTGGCTAGAATGTTGAGGAGACTGAGTCTTGGAGGGTGAGCCTAGGGTCCCAGGTGCTCTGGTGGGGGTTTGCCGAAAGCGAGGAGCTGGGCATGTAAGTGTAGTGGCCCTGCTGGCTCTCCATCGCCTTCTCATAAATGAGAACCTTCAGCTTTCTTCTGCCACACTGAATTCCATTATTTATTCTTTCACAACTACCTGTGAAATTGCATTAAAGCTCAGACACTGATTTTATGCAATGAATTGATTCTCAAGAGGGTAAATACCCAGAATGGATGTGCTCAGCTAGAAGAAAAAAAAAAAAGGGAGTTACTCAACCTTTTATCACCTCAGTGTGGAACAGTAACAGTTAAAGAGAATGGGAAGACAAAATATACAAGCACCATAAAGTAAAGGCACTTAGTCCTTAAGATGTTGTGAAATCAACCTTCCTTTACAAAAGCTTTCTATAGGAATATATTAAAAACTGGAGCCATTAGAAAAGACCTTATAACTGTGTGATTGAGGTCTCCCATGCTCATGTCAGATATAGTCGTATATTATTTACCTTATCTGTCATAAACTGAACTGAAACTGACATATTTGTCTACTTTTCATTGAAAACCAATAATGTTGTTTAGCTAGATTGTTCCTAGAAACAGTATTTTGCCAGCATTTATACACACACGCAAACCAACAGTAATTCCACAGCATTGTCCTAGAACGTGGGCTCATGTCTTACCTGCCTTCTCCAGAATGCAATTCTATATGTCACATCAGTCCTCCAGTGCTGTGTTGATCCCCATTTTGTGTATGTTTTCTGTAAAGCATGCTTTTCCCCTCATGCACGAGTCGATCTTCCCACCGAGAACAAATGTGGGGCTAACTCATTCAGGTGATCAGAATACCAATGACTGGGGATTTCTGAAGGGACATACAGATTTTACTTTAGTTTTTTCTTTCTCTTCAAAGGTATGCAATGAGGCTGAAGAACTTTGCAAGCCCCTTGGCTTCCGATGGGGACAAAAAGCTAGCAGTATTATGGTAAGTCCCATGGAGGCCACAAGAACATCACTAAAATGTCACAGAAGGATTTGATAACTCTGGATCAACTTAAGCTGCTTACCCCAGATCATTACCCTTGTTTTCCATTAAACTATTAAAGGATAACTAATGAATTTCTTCAGTCACTGACTAAACATTTACTCTCCTAATTTATACCCTTATCAAAATGGGATTTTAATACTTCCCCGTTACCTTTTTAAAATTTTCTTTATTTACTTACACTCCTCAATCTAACCATAGGAGAGTAACTGCAAACTATGAATCAGCATTCTTCTTGTGGTTTATAGGTTTCATTAAGCACTCACATTAACATAAGCTTTTCCTCATCACAGTTACCGATGTTTATCACTTCTCTACTTGAGGATGTTTAAGCTGAAGAAGGACCATGCTATGAAGTACTCCAGATCACTGATGGAATATTTTAAGGTAATCCTTATTTTGTATAATTTATAGGTACGGGCTGATAAAAGTACTAATGGGACATGACAAACATGTTATTAAATGTCAAATGACAAAGTCTGTTGCTGCCAAAGGCGTAACCTCTTTCATCCCACCTGGCCATGGCCCTCCCTTTACCAATACATCTGAGCTCAGCAGAGAGTTTTATGTCTGATGTGATTCCAGGGAGAGAAGGTACAATAGTGCAATCCCCTGACTATTTTCTGGACTGACCAAGTGACCCTTGGTCGTCTCCTGGTTGCGGTTTGAAGGACGTTGTCTTTTGCTCCACCCTGCGAGGCAGGCACAGCTTGTGGCTGTGGGTGTGGCCAGTCTCTTGTTAAATGAGAGGTCAGCAGAGGAGTCTCTCCAAAGTGAGAGAAATCATTACAGCCACCCTGGCTCTGGGTGGACATCCACACCCCTGAAAGGCCTTTGGTCACGGGGAGTCATGATGCACAGTGGTTGCAATTTAAGACAACTGAATGCATTGATTTCCAAAACAAACAAATAAAGCTATAATTGAGGGAGCTGGCAACTTTTAACTTGCAAGCAAATATATATATATATATATATATATAGCAATAGCAAAATATGAAACACCAATATATAAAATGCAATACCAATATTTAGGGATGAGCCCAGATAAAAATTGCAAGTAGCAGCTCATGCTAGGCTTGGCCACTGTACCTTCAAACACTGGCCATGATTTGGAGTTGGGAAAACCTAGTACTTTGTCTGTTGGGCAGAACTCAAAAGAAAATGACTTTTCTATTTTTTTTTTTTTGCCAAGTGCATGAGACCTCTTGATTAAATTGCACCAAAGCAGTAGTTTAAAATGAATCAAATAATAACATCAAACATCTAGTGAATAGCAGCATATGGCTGTATGAGGACACTGTGACTCTGTTGGGAAAAAGAGCAAGTTCACCAGCTATTATGTGATGTGACCATAATGCTTTAAAACTAGTGTTCGTGTGGGTGAAAGGGGGTCACATACAACAGCTCCTCATCCCTTTGCATGTCTACCCTCTCAACCTCTGCTCTAGAAAGGTGGTTCTTGAACTTCAGTGAGCGTCAGAATCCACAGGAGGGCTTGTGATTGCAGAGTGCTGGGCCTCATACCCTAAGTGTCTAGTTCTGTAGGTCTGGGGCAGTGCCCAATAATTTGCATTTCTAACAAGTTCCCAAGTGATGTGAATGCTGCTGGTCTTGTGATCACACTTTGAGAGCCACTGTTGTAGTGTCTGTCCTCTCTGGCCTGTCCTATGTATCTTGTATGGCATTGCAATAAATGCTAAATAACTCACTTATCTGGGAATGTGTCGAACTTTTCTGAGGTTAAAGACTGGATTCTGCAGAATGCATCTTAGGTGTGGGTTTCCACCACTCTAGAAAAGTATTACATTCTTACTGGACTCCTCAAAATGCTGACTTTCTCCCTAACACCCCTTTTGCAAAGGAGGGTTGACTGGAAGCCAAGAGGCAGAAGAAGAGCATTGCCTGAGTTGTGACTGCTGAGAGCAAGTTTGAGTCATGCTCAGTGCCACAGGTCGTCATCTGTGCCACTTGAGCTTCAACCTAGCAAGGCCATTACAGTGAATCTCATCCCTGTCCTGTTGTCGTAATGCTGAATGTCAGGTTCCCTCTGATCCACAGGTATGCAGCCACAAAAATACAAGAAGACCCAGTCTTTAAACCAGCCCAGTTCCATCAGAGGAATAAAATAATGTCTAGCATTCCATTGCAATGCAGCTCTGCACCAGTCGCTTTGTTAAAGAGGGAAAATCTTCACCCATGAGGGTTTGCGTGTAAAGATAACAAATCGAGGTGATTCCTGAGGACAAACAAAGGCACTGTTTGGTTCTTGCACATTCCTGGGATAGTATAAATTATAGCCCACCCTGTATCCCAGGGAAAAAGTTTGCAACTGGAGCTAAAGGTGAAAAGCTTACTTGTACTCTGAAGAGCTTGTTTAGCAGAATAAATTTCAGATGAGGATAATTAAGCCACTTCTTGGAGAACTGAGTCTGATTTCACTGGGCCTTTTAGTATATAAGATCTTTCATCAAGTGACTTTCATGGTCCTGATTGGAGCCCACTAATTATCCTAACCAGCTATTTTCATCGAGTGTGCGTCGTGGTGTGCTGACGTGCACATACATCCCAGATCTGCATCCCGAAATGCTGCAATCAATATTAATGTACTCTAAATCACACTTCCATCTGTTTCTGAATTAATAAAACACAAAATAGATGTCCTTATTTCCCTCTCTTTCTCTCTCTCTCTTTTAGCAAAATGCTTCAAAAGTCGCTCAGCTATCCTCTCCATGGGTAGGCAATGGAAAGTAAGTATTTTATGAAAATTGCTTTTTTCATGAAAATGAGTGATTCAATAGACCTCCAAACATTTTGCATTGACAACTCAGGAGTCAAGGTCAATTCTGAGACTAAGTCATTCTTGTGCACAAAAATTTCTAGCCAGTTTTCAGCTAATGACAAGACAGAAAAGTTTTAAATGATATGGTTCCAAATTCTGTAACTATTTGATCTTTAAGCCAAATTATGGCCATAAAAATATCTGCTAATGAGATGGCTAGCACCATGCCATTTCAGGAAGGTAGAGTAAAGTTAACTCCACTGCAGTGATTTGTCAATGATTCACTCGGTAATGAAAGACCAATGAAATATTCATTGATATATGGTAAGTGCTGTTTAATAAAACCAAAGGCATAATAGTGCTGAAAATGTGAAGGCACTTGGTCAGCCAATTATCCGAGCCTTCATGATGATTTTTATATTAATACTAAAACACCCTGACCTAAAATAGAAAAGCGTCTACTATAATGCTGATCTGAAGCTCAATGAATTCACCCATGCTGGCAGCCATATTTAGAGTTTTCTATCTGCCTGGGAGAGTTCAGTCTTAACAGCAGTGGGATAGGACTCCAAAAACCATTGACCTGGTCTTGAGGCTGCCCTTAACTCACAAGGTAAGTTAAGTGGGCCCCTTTCTCTATCGCTAAAATGAAGGGGCTGGATCTGATGCTTTCTGAGGCAAACTGAAGAGATGTTTCTTATAGAAGGTGAGTTTTTCAATCCCAGTTCTGTCTCAGCCACAAAGTGGTCTTCTAAGCCTTTGCAAACTTGCCTGTGCATCAGTTTCTCTTCTGATTCCCAAACTTCCCTCACTACCACAAGCCCACTTTCTCCAAGGAGTGGGAAGGGAAACTAGATCACTATGGACATAGACATTCACCAAGAGACTGATTTATAACTCTAAGCTGCCTTTTTCCTCATTTTTTATCATTTCAAAATTCTTGCGTCTCTGATCGAAACACTTTCTTTAAAAGTAAAACAGTCTCTACTGTCACTTTATAAATATCTCCAAAGCATACCCCAAACGCAGTGGGACATTGAACTCTACTTGGAGATCATAAAAACATTCAGGGTGAGGGAACAGATTCATTAAACAAACTACACATTAACTCAATTATTGTATTGAAACGAAGCATGGTTTAAAATGTTGAATTAGGTTTTACTTTTATATCGACAAACAAAAGAGAAAAAAGGCTTCTCTCTGGAAGTTCAGAAAATAAAAATAACCAGGGAAGACCCAGAGAAAGCTATTTTCTCTGAGCACAGAGTAAAGCAAGTGCAAGGTCAGGTAAACAGCTATTAAAGGGGGAGTAGATTGTGTGTGTGTGTTTAATTCAGAAACAAAAGAACTCAAACACATCCTAACCTTGTGAAGTTGCATGAAAAGCCTCCTGAAATGATTTTATAAGTAGCTTCTGTCTGAAGAAAGCACACTCCCTTTAGTAGATCACAGAGATTCAAAATGAAGCAACTCAAAAGTCTCCCGGGGTTACATCTCATTCATTCAGCAAACACTTTGGGCACATCTGCGGCATGAGGGTCGGGGGACACACAGAAGCATTCTATGTGGTCCCTGCACTCCAGAAACACACAGTGCAGGGGAGGGAGGTAATGGGTATGAATGAAGTGCTGAGGAACCCCAGGAGAAAAAGCATGGACCCCCCTGTGTGGCCAGGATGGGCTTCTTGTCTGTAAACAAGACTTTGGCTGGGTTCTCCAGTGAATGAGGGTGATGTGCTCTGTGAAGGCTAGCGATTGGGAAGTCAGGCGGGAAGTCAGGTGGCCATGGCTCCCCTCTCCATAAATGAGAGCTCTGAAGAAAAGTATAGGGAGGGATGAGCAGAGCGTTGAGAATAGACCTTCAGAAACTAGCTTGCATGCAAGCTGGGGAAAGAAAGTGCGAATAAGTAGTTGGAAGAAGCAGAAAAATCTACTTGGTTTAGAACAGAGGTAAGCAAACTTTCTATAAAGAACCAGATACTTCGTATTGTGGGCTTTGCAGTCCAAGAAACAAAACTGAGACTATCATATACAAAAAATATAAGGGAGAAACACATTTCCCCAGATATATAAATGAATATAAGAGAGAAAACAAATTTCCACAACATTTTCACTGACAAAATTTTAAATATAACAAGTGTAATTTTTGAAATACAAAACTACTAAGGAAGAATGGAATTCTTTTTTAAAAATAACAGTTTGCTTAATTGGGGTTCAAAGTTAGTTTTCCCTCTCTACAGATTGATTGAAAATGTTCATCTTTTCAGACCATTTGAAGCTCGCAGGCCATACAGAAGCAGGAGGAGGGCCAGATTTACCCACGTCCAATATAGCATTATGGAGGCTATATTGTGGAGGTTTAAAAGGGCTGGGCAACAATCTCAAAATACACTGAAAATAAAAATAAAGAGGTCTAAGAAGAGTACTGAATTTTGAAAAAAAAAAAAAGGAATCTGAGACCTTCAGAAGAGCTTTTTCAGTAGATAGGTGGGTGCCACATGAAAAGAGTTAGAAGAGAGATGTCTTCACTTGCTTGAGACATTGACCATGCCAAGGAGCATTGGAAAAACCATCTAGATCAAGCAAAAGCTTTCAGAGGGCAATGCCTGTGTGAATTGGTGATATATCAACAAACCTGGCTAGAGGAGTGAATATGAAAATGAGGGTAGAAGTGGACACTCATGTCAAGTGAAATGTTTAATCATAGGGATGATAAAATTTGAGGTGACATGGTGGAATGGAAAGAGAATGGGCCTGGGAGGAAATCAGACCTGCTGTCAAATTCTGACTCTTCAGCTCTTTCAGCTGTGTGGCCCTCAGGAAGAAGAAGAAGCTGAACATCTCTGGGGCCATTTTGTCATTTGTGAAACTGGCAAGAGAAATTTCCCAAAGAGTTGTGAGACTCGGAATATAGGTGATGCCCTGTGCACTATGCTGCTGCCATGGTTATTGTTGTCATTGTTACCTTTTAAAGTTTAATGTTGGAAAGCATAAGTGATCCTGCCCCTTAGAATTCCTACCACTCTTGGTCAGTACTTCTGTTCTGACACTTACCCTAGATTGCCAGAAAATAATGGATTTTGTTCCTTTATTAGACTACTTGCTCTTTTTCAATAAGGGGCCATTCAATCTTTCATTTACCAAGTATTTATTGAGTACCCACTATGTGTGAGATACTCTGCCAGTCTGTTTATAAAAATATTCCTATCCTTCTCCTTCTGCCCTCCAGAGCACTTTATATATGTAGTGGGTACTAAATAATAAATATAAGCAAGTCATTTATTCATTTAATTGGTATTCGTTGAGGACATATTATGTGCTAGACACTTCTCTAGATACTGACATATACAGGGTGAAATAGACAAAAAGTGCTGCCTTCATGGAGCTCACATTTTGTTGGAGGAGAAAGACAATAACAAATATGTGGCATGTTAGATGATGGTAAATGTCATGGAGAAAACTGAAACAAAGAAGGCAGTTAGAAGGAGTTTCTGGGGGTAGGAGAGGGAACTGTGGTAGACTCTTGAGTCGTGAGTATGGAGGGATGTTGGAGAAGGGTTCTGGTAAAACAAACCATGTCAATTTCTTGGGGAAGTGCCTTTCAATCAGAGGAATGGAACTAGGGAGGAGGGAGTAGGACTGAGAGGTGAGAAAAGATGTTGAAATTTTGGGTGAGAGAATGTGGTAGTAGTGAAAGTGGTGGGAAGCATATGCTTGTGTGTGCATGCTCCTTTGCATGTGCTGTGGAAGTGTGGAGGAAGGGACAAGGTCTGCAAGTAGACACATGCAAACAATGGGAAGGGGACCCCTAAACAGTGATAAAAGAACTGAGTCGGAGTTGGAGAGCACACCAAGGTGAGTGTGAGCCTGCATCAATCCTCTCTTAGCCACAGTCACCATTTCTTGGCAGGTTTTAATTTCTTCATTTTGTGAGCATAATATGGTGTGCAGACATGTTCATCAGAACACAACAGATCATAGAGCCTCATGTGAGAACAGTAACGACCAGAGTTAAACCCTTATCCTAGCTCTGCTTGCCTTCATTACTGGGTATTTCAAAGGAAGCAGGGAAAGAAAGACCCACAGTAACACTTAAGTGTAATAAATTTAAAGAGGCTTTTCTTTCCTTTTTCTTTTTTTCTTTTTCTGGAGTTGGAGTCTCACTCCATTGCCCATGCTGGAGTGCAGTGGCACACTCACGGCCACCCCAGCGTCAACCTGCTGGGCTACAGCGATCCTTACGCCTCAGCCTTCCAAGTAGCCGGAACCACAGGGGCACACTACCACGCCCGACTAAATTTTTTTTTTTTTGTAGAGACATGGTCTCCTCAAGTTGTCCAGGCTGGTTTCGAACCCATGGGCTCAGGCAGTTCACTTCCCTTGGCCTCCCAAAATGCTGGTTGAGCCACCAAGCCCGGCCAAAAGTGCTTTTCAAGATGTTTGAGGAAAAGAGAGATGATTTGGTTTCCCTTGTGACTTCTGGGCACACTGAATTTCAGTGAAATCATTGAATCTAACGTTTTACTTCAGTCAAAAAAAGTAAGACCCAGCAAAAGGAAGGGACTTGCTCAGGGACACACAGTGATTTTATGGCAGAGCCAGGGCTACAGTTCAGGTCTCCTGGGATTCCAATACCTTGTTCCCTGAAGCACAGGGTCCTCTTCCGACATTTACGGTACATGATATCTTTGTCATTTTCTCTAGAGATTACAAATATAAACATACTCCTTTCTTGCTATGAATTGAGTTAATCACCACCAATGAGGGAAAGGACTAGAAAATAGCACTTGCAACCTATCACAGCAAAGAAACCCAGCATTTGCTGCTTTTTTGTCATTAACTAACCTCTCTGTGCCTATGATCCTTAGCTTGGAGAGCTCCCCATCCTACTTCTGCCTTCAGAATAAATCATATATCAAGAAGTAACAAAATAGCTCAGAAATTATAAACATAGCAGGAATGCCCTCATACCCTCTTACAGCAGACAAGAACAGAGCATGTGTAAGGTTCAACATTCCCCCTGAGACGAGAACATATTAGAAGATAGACTCTGTGTGTAGAAATGGTCCAAATCTTTCCCCTGGCTGTAGGCACAGCCTGAGTGAGTCTCAAGGAGAGCATTTCAATTGTAGCTGCTCCCAGATCTATTCAGCGGCTCTTCAGCATTTTGGTACGCTGTGACTGCTGCTTGCCCCAAATCATATGTGTGTGCCACGGGTCAGGGTGTACGTTCATTCTGTGAGCCACTCTAGAAAGTGAGAGCTGTCAACAAGAGCAAGTGGTAAGGAGGTGAGTTGGGGCATGAGATGGGTTCCTTGAAGTTGTATTGGGGTGTGTTTAGAAGAGTAAGTTGGAAGTTTCTTCAAGCATACAGGCTCGTGGAGTCCCAAACACAGCTTTCCCCCGCTTTTTTTTACTCCCTCAAAATGTTCTGTCCTGATAAAGTGGTTCATTTGCCTGGGTAGTTGTTCAAAGTGTTGCTGGAAGAGAATAGGGAAGCTGAGGGGCACACAGACCTTGCTTCTGTGTATAGGATAACACCCATGATTTGGGGACTGCCCCTGGACAAGACTGTAGCAAGCAGACCTAAACTTGGGCCCCCAGGAAAAGTGACCTCTGTTATATACACCCAGCAGGTGACTCCTTGTTACTAATATTAAATAACTTATTGAAAATCTATGTCCAAGCATTGGGACTGTCCGAAGTGGAACTCTGAAGACTTATCTTTATAAACTAGCATACAGGTGAATAGTCAGAAATTAACAGCCCATCTTTGTTGTGTCTTAAAGAATCCTAAAGAAATATTCGGAATCCCATTTTTTTCCAGCTTCCCAAATAATGCTCCTTGGGGGGCTGTTAAGAATTGCACTTTGCTCATTGTGATAATTGTATTTGGAGCAAACTGTCATTGTGGTTTCCACAAAACACTTTTGGATGATAGACCAATATTGCACATCAAGTGTTTTCCAACTGCCAATAGGCTTTCAGGCAGCAGGTAGAGACATAGTCATAGCTCTGAGCTGTTTCTTTCTTTGAAACATCATAATACTTGTTATATATATTCAAAGTAAGAGCTACATTTGTGGGTAGAATCAATACCAAAGAAAGATTCACCTATCTCATTCTGGCATTTTAAGATAAAAACAGCATTGTGCATGGATCCCTCAGTGACTGTCAAAGGTGGTAAAAACTTTGGTGTTTAATGTTAGAAAAAGAGGAGGTGGGGCTCATTCTACAATCTGGCACCACAGCCCTGGATGGCTTGGTCAGATGGTCAGGAAGATGGGGTGGTAGGGCAACCCCTTCGGGTCCCCTCCCACTGTGGGAGCTTTTCTGTCCTCTCAATAAATCCTGCCTTCTCAAAAAAGAAAAAAAAAGGTGGGGTGGTAATAAACTGTCTCTACACTGGAGAAAGCTATTATGTTGACAAAGTGATTGCATTGATAAAAGCTTTAAGATGATTAGCCGGGCGTGGTAGCGCGCGCCTGTAGTTCCAGCTACTTGGAAGGCTGAGGCAGAAGGATCGCCGGAGCCCAGCAGGTGAAGGCTACAGTGGCCGGGATCAGCCACTGCACTCCAGTCTGGGTGACAGAGTGAGACTCCAACTCAAAAAAAAAAAAAAGATGTTCTCTGAGAAGAGTTTGGGGTGGGGGAGGACTGATGTGGGAACAAGTTCCAATACATCGGGCTTTGTGTATGCTCACCGTGCTAAACTTCACTCTAGCCAATGGTAGTCTGGTGAGATCGCAGTGTGAGGAGGGAGGCCTGAACCCCACTGTCACTCTTCCCTGCCAGACTGACAAGGCCTGTCATTTTTACCATTCCCCAGGAACACTCCATCCCCAGTGTCTCTCAACAATGTCTCTCCCGTCAATGCAATGGGGAACTGCAACAATGGCCCAGTCACCATCCCCCAGCGCATTCACCACATGGCCGCCAGCCATGTCAACATCACTAGCAACGTGTTGCGGGGCTATGAACACTGGGATATGGCTGACAAACTGACAAGAGAAAACAAAGGTATGCTCGTCTGCTCTACTCATTGTCACAGATCATGATAGAGTCAACTGTGCTTTAAAGGACTTGAGTTGTAGTTGGCCTTATACCTTTCAGTCTCTCTGATTTCCAGGGCCTAGATAAGGGAAGAGGGGCTTCGCTGAGGGCTGACCCAGTGACCTATAATTACTGAGAGAGTGAAACAGGTCTGGGAATTTGTTCTCCTTTAAAGCTTAGGCTAATGTGAACTGTGATATGTTTGGAATTTCACTTCGTGACAAGAATAAACACAGAGAAACAGAAGCAAAGACAAAAAGGATGATTAGCAAATTAATTAAGATCCTGTTGGCTTCTGTTAACTTTATTATTCTCTTTTGAGAGGTGAGGTTGAACTGCTGCCTTCTACCTTCATTCTAATCATCAGCTCCAGTTGAGTACATGATAATATGGCTTGCATTTGGAAGCAAGGGCCAAAGCTCAGCTAGTATCTTTCACACACTGACAGCAGGGATGAAGGATCAGGGTCCTGTTCATGGTGACACCTGAGATTTGCTACAAAATAAATGCAAAGAGAACCCTGCTTCACCAGAGAGTGTGTCCATGGTCTTTAGTGATTCATGCTGCCATCTGTGACCCTAGCTGTTATTGAGGCTCACAGCAATGCCTCACTATCCTAATGAAGGTGGGAAGTAAAAATAAACCGTACTTTTGCCCTGGCTGTTCATTTGACTTGGCTGACTCTGGCCCAGAAGTCACAGACTGCCCTACTTTAGTCAAACTGGGGACAGATGTGGGCCTTTTAGAATCAGAATGCAAAGAGGTGACCAGCAGTTTAGAGTAGCAGAAATTTTGAGCCAGTAATGGGGAGACATTAGCATCTTTTACCACCTAAATTGCATGGGGTAGGTGTGGATGCTACTAGGTCCCAAGTGGCTACAGTGGCAGTTATATATCTGCAGGTTCCACATCTATAAACTCAACCAATGGTGTATCGAAAATATTCAAAGAAAAAAATTCTAAAAATATTCGGAGAAAAATAACAATACAACAATAAAATAATATAGATTTTTAAAAAATACAGTAACAGCTATTTGCATAGCTTTTACATGGTATTAGGTAGCATAAATAATCTAGATATGATTCAAAATATACAGGAGGATGTGCATAAGTTATATGCAATGTATATCAGGGATTTGAGCATCCATAGATTTTGGTATTAACAGGCATCCCAGAGGTGAGTGTATATGACTTTTTAGGAATGAGGCTGGGTAGCAGGTCACATATATGCAGATGGAAGTTTCCTGGGTTTGACGAAGAAGACATATTGGGCATTCTGGCCCAATTCCTCTCCCAAGCTCCAGAGTCTTCGCTGCCCAGGCAGCTCTCCTTCTCTTTCCACTCAGGCTCCAAGGTTTTAGCCTGCTTATTTTCTCTCTTAAAAGCTGCCCCTCTGTATCTGGGGTGATTCTCTCCAGTACCTGGTTGTGGAATGAGGAGCAGTCTTCCAAGCCCTTCCTCTTTGCGACCCATTTGTACTGTATTGCTAAGCATGCGTGGAAGCCATCCCATCAGAATAGGAAGGATGCATATTTTCCAGTTTAATAATTTAAGTTTGAATTCTGCCTGGGCTATACATTACCTGGGCAACCTTGGCAAGTTACTTAAATCTGTCAGTTACTTCCTGGCTTCCACCTCTATAATAGACATAATAATGATGATAATGGTGGAATTTCCCAGACAGATAATAGAGATTGGTTAAATTATATAATATATGTAAAGCACCTAGCATAAAATATTGGGTTCAAGGTAGAAATCCTACAAATATTTATTCTCTTTCCTTACTCCATATTATTATTATGTATCTATATAACTCAAAGATTCTGTGACTATCAAAACATATTTCATAATTTGAGACTTCAACCCTAAGTTCAGCTATAAGCTTATATTGACTCCAGGAAATAAATGTGTCCATGTATCGGTGATGTGGGTTTGTGCAGAAATTTCTACAAGCCAGGCACTTTATTATTTGCTTTATTATTGTTGTCTCATTTATTCTTAGTTTATTTGGAGAAACTGAGCTTCAGTGAGTTTAAGAAGCCCATCCATGTTACCACTGCTCTTAATGTTTGTTAGAAACAGATTGAATCGAGAAGTCTCTGATTCTAGAGTCTGAACTCTTAATCAATAGGCTACATTGCCCATCTAGAGAATAAGATAAATAACGGATCCTCAGAAACCATTTGTGAGATCCTAAACCAGTTACTTAAACTATGAGAAATTCTTAATTTGTCTACTTTTCTAGACTTCTGGAAATTCAGAGACAGTTGGCCCCTACAACCAGACCCATTCAAGTATTCTAGGATTACAAGCAAAGACATATACTCCTAAAGATTTGCCTAGCTTGTCTGCCTCCGCCAAATCTATCTTATTTTGTATTGGTAACTGGAGGTCAGTTCAATATTTATGGATTTCCTTTATCTTTGCATCCGTTTTCAAAATCTGTTAAAGTAATTCCTTCTAAATTAACTTCAGAGCTTTCCAAGAGCAATGTGGTGGCTGTGCTGTTGTTAGGGTGAAATGGTGCTAATCTTGTCATTAGCACAGCATGTCTAGGAATTGCTAAACTCCCTGTGTAATATGGAATCAAATAAACCCTGTCAGTCCATCAGCAGAGAGAAAATGTGTCCTGCTAATGCTGTCATTGGGCTTTTCAGTGGACTGGGGAGAGGACCTAGTATGGAATCTTCGGCTCACAGTTTTGAATTTCACACACTTGGCATTTCTGATGTGCTTAGAGCTTTGGGAATTCTTTTCATATCTATCTTCCTATGTAGAAATTGGGGCTATGAGGAGCTTCCCTTTTTATTGGAGCACTGCATCTCACTGGAGACAACCATGTACTTCTACCTTTTCTACTCATTTCTGTGGTATGGGTAAAGTTGGTTCTCCCAGTGGAAGGTCTCCACTCTTCCCTCATGCCTGAAACAGGCCAATGGAGCTGATGCTGTCCTCTGGCCTTTGGCCTGAAGCCTTGTTCCTGCCTTGTTCCCTACCTACACAGTTGTCCATACTGGCCAGTTGGAGCAGTTATTAAAATAATTACCTGGGTATCTAATTAAGAAGACTGCCACAGACAGCTTTGTACAGAATACCCAGGGAACACTCTGGCTCACATGAGGCTCACATTCATTCAACAATGAGTGAGTCCTTTACCACTTTCTTTAATATTGCATTATATAAGAACATATTTTAGAGGCCAGAAATAATTCATTCGTTTATCATCAGAAATTACTTTTATTGCATTGTACAGAGTAAAAAGTATTACTAAATCAAATGAAGTTGATAACTGGAGAAGGAACCCATATGTTATATATAGCATGAAGAATTAATTCATTGTTTGGTGAAATACCATCTGCTGAGCAAACAAGCACATGTAAACTATGCATAGAAATCACTTTCCAAGAAGGCAGGCTGCCGTCCCAAACACTTTAGGGCAGGCTCCAGTCCTACCCCCTGACCTCATCCTCTGGCCCAGATTCCTCACCCCCAGGGAGCACAAGTGTGAGTTCCTTATGGCTAAGGCTGCTTCCTCTAACAAGAGCTAACAAAAAGGATGCCAGAGAGCCCTCTCATAATCAAATGCCAGACAAATGAACTCAAACATGAAAAGGGGGACACCTAGTTAGTTTTTAGACAACATATAGTTTTCCCCAAATACTACATCTACACCCTCCAAAGTAGACATTCTAAAACTTCAGTCACATTGGTTAGTAGTGGAGCCTGGGGGTTACCCCTTCCCCAAGTCAGCCAAGGGGCACTCAGGTGGGTATTCTTACCATTCACGTTCTAGTAGTAGAAGTAATCATGGGATAGATACTTGCAGGTCATTTTCCATCCCTAAAGTAATTATTAATGAGACTTACCAAATCAGATTCCACCTTAAACATTTATTTGGCTCTGAAGTCTGATAGCTATAATTGCTCCACAGATTCAGGGGCTTTGTCTATACCATACCAAGAAAAATCAGTAAACTCAGTTTATTTAGACAAAAGAAAAAGATGATAATTTCATTTCAGTAACACACACAATAACAAACAGTTTGACATCAGATAGAGCATGACTCCCTATCTTTTGTGTATAAAGACCCCGTTCCAAATATAAATGTTTAATATGTAAAAATATACATTTATTATATAGTATAAAATATAGGAAAATATGTTTATATGTGCAATTTGTTGTATATTTCTAAGTATATTATATATTAATTTTATATAACTATATAGACAAATATATATTTACATGTAATTTATAGTGATATATGTATGTGTGTGTCTGTGTGTGTGTGTATATATATATGAAACTTCTACAGGATTATAATGTTCCTTTAGAATCTACTGTCTGAGAAAACATATAGTGATTTATTTAAAAACTTGCTCTGAGCCGGGCTCGGTGACTCAGCCTGTAATCCCGCACCTTTGAGAGGCTGAGGTGAGTGGATTGCCTGAGCCCGCAGGTTCGAGGCCCGCCTGGGCAGTGAGACTTCATCTCTACAATAAATCAAAAAATGAGCCGGGCGTGGTAGTGCATGCCTGTAATTCCGGCTACTCAGAAGGCTGAGGCGGAAGGATCGCCGGAGCCCAGCAGGTCGAGGTTGTGGTGGCTGGGAGCGGCCACTGCACTCCAGTCTGGGCGACAGAGTGAGACTCCAACTCAAAAAAAAAAAAAAAAAAAAACTTGCTCTGAATTTAGTGACAGATTTAAATTAACTTGTGTTTTATTAATCACAATAACACAAACATGTTTTGTTCTGCAGAGTATTTGGAGCTCACTGACAATTAAAATAACAGTGCTTGATATACATTTTGAGTTTGCGTCTCTTAGTAGGCACTTTATAAGTTTTTTGAATGAATGAACAAATGAATCACTTTTTCAATGTCCATGTGGTTGTGGTGTCGCATGAAGGTGCCTTTTCAACGTGGGACATATTTCCCTGATATCATGTAAAGGCCTGACCCAGGACTGCTCTGCTTTTCAGAATTCTTTGGCGATCTGGACACGCTGATGGGGCCTCTGACCCAACACAGCAGCATGACCAATCTTGTCCGCTACGTTCGCCAGGGACTGTGTTGGCTGCGCATCGACGCCCATCTGTTGTAGTGGGTGTTCTCTCGTCTCCAGCACCACCTATCACTCTACCTGTGTCAGCGCACCAATGGTCACGGTGGAACACCACTCATTGGGGAAAGTTCTCTTTGGTTATATTTGGTTTTATACTTCTTTTGTTATCTGCGAAAAACAGAAGTTATTGTAAGTTGACACTACAACTTGAGAACGGTGTATGTTTTATTACTTAGTCATTTTTTCCGGCACTTGATATGCATTTCTCAAATCTCACCACCTTTTTGTGCTTTATGGAATGACAGTCCCTACAGTATTGTTTTAAGTCCACATTACCCAAAACAAAGAATGGGAAGCATTTATCACAAAGACACGCTCCTGAGAAATGCAACAAGCCGACTTACATGTACATGAGAACTTTGACACAAGGGACTGTCCCCCAAGGGACTTTATTTTTTCATGTCCAGAAAAGAACGTATCTCAGTATCTATTGTTCAACTTTTGTGGTTCCAGTAGACTCAATCTTCAGGTGAGAATTTTTATTGTCAAAATCCACTGGTTAGATGTTGTAGCGACATCATAAAATCAAGAGTCTCAAAATAATAAATGAGCACAGCAATGCCACTCTTAAAATGATGCTATGCCACACAACCAGATAACTTTCTTGTTAGCGTCCCTGTTTTGATTCTCTTTTTTTTTTATTTTAATGAGAAGGAGGAGTGACATTTATTTCAACAACTTTAAGGCATCGACTGACATCATTATTTTTGAACTCCATGATTTGAAGCATAAATCCTCACCTAGGATTCTCTTTGTGCAAAGCTTTCCTTTTGAGGAGCAGTTTGGTAAATGCACATTGGTAGCCAAAATGCTGCACTGCAGTCTTAGAGTTGGAAGATAAGAGTGGTCTGGAAAATGTCTGACAAGGAATTTACACCTCTGCCTTCTTTGCAGTTGGTGAGCAGGTCCACGAGAGGCAGGATTTTTAAATTGTATTTTGCTCAAATCTATGGAAACAAAAGTGGTTATCACTACCTAAAAGTAAAAATATACATTTTTTCCCTAGTGGCTTTAAAATCTGGACTTCCCCAATTATTATCCCCATTTTCTATTGTACAGGATTTCCTTTTTCTACTTTCTTTTTTTTTTTTTTTCTGTTTTCTGTCGTTCCTTTTTCTTCTTTTTGGCTCATTAACTTTTGACTGAAATACAATCACTGATTTTATTAAAGTCTATACATTAGCTTGAATCATTTCCATGAAAATTCCAAAGAAAACTACAAACTCTCTAAGTGGGTAGCTAGCGGCTTTTGTTTTTTTTTTAATCTGAATCTTGGGGTAGTGCTTCACCCCGAAGTGCTTTGAAAGAGTCCTGAAGATTGGAAGTAGTTCACTTAATTTAGAGACATTTCCCCATCGGTTGTGACTACCCTCCCCTTAAGATCCTTTGCATTCATTTTATGTCCCTAAATATAACAATGTAAATATCATCTTTGATATTCCAGCTCACCAGTCTCCCACTTTTAGTAAACACTATCCATGTATTACTTACTTGTAATTACCTGCCAGTATATAATTCCACGTAGCCTTTAATCTGCTGAGTTATTGAATTCTGCTCACTGAGTTATGACCAGATAAATAATTGATATGCACATGAAAGATGAAAACTTGTATGATTATTAAAGCAAGTCATGCAGGTCTGGTATAGGAACAGCAGGTGATCACTCTGCACTCTCATTGTTAAGGTTAGCTATATCCCCACTTGCAAAAGAGCCACACTTGAGCTGTGCTCTGGTCACCTTTGAGTTTAAGGCCCTTTGTTGTATAATAAAGTTGTGGAAGTTGTACTCCAATGGCTGAAGCCATGTTGTTAATATGGCTGATGGGAGCATCCCAGCAGCTGAACCCAGCACTTTTTATGCTCCCACTGTGGTTGAGCTCTATGTTTACAGTTTCAACAACACTTACACATGCGCACACACATACACACATACAAATGAAACCTAAAAGAATCTTTTCTGAGCCTCTTAAATGAGGAATATGATAATATGAAAGACTCTGAACACCCCAGGTGGGTGTCACACATAACAATTAAGCTGATGACTTTACAGTGACTCAGTTCTTTGTTTTCCATGACTTGCCAGGTAGAGTACTTGGCTATTACTATGTAATGAAATCCATTTGCTTGTCTTATAAGTTCGACCTAGACCATGATCCTAGACCATTATGGATTTAGGAGCAGATTCTTCTTGAAATTCAGAAACTAGACATTTGAATGCTAAGGGCAGTTTTCCAGGGAAACAAGCATATTGCCTCATGGATGAAAGACTTGTAGCTCTAGTTTCTGTGACTTGTTATATCTACTTACATACAACAGGTATTGCATACAAGAGAATTCTCTGTCATCTCTTGTAGTTAAATGTAAAAGGTGTGCCACTTTTTACACAGCACACTTACGAAATCTGACAGTCGAGCTCTGGCTCACCACCTGATACTTAGTAGACCCACTTTTAAAGTAACTTGGAAACCAATTAAATATGAAGGTTGAATTACCTTCCTATCTCTGGAGATGAGACATCTTTCAGTTTCATGATTGGGGATTGTTGCTGTTTTTTAGGCACTCTATTTATCACATCATAAATGGTGATGTGTGTAGTAGGTGCACAGTTCTTTGAGGGATTAAGGGATTGAGATATTTTGTCAAGTGAATCTCTTCAGTGTGCCAGTTTGTGGGGGGGGATATGAGACACATGGATGGCAATGAGAGATCGTGCCTCTAGAGCTTGCTGGAGGCTCAGTGTGACACATCTAAATAAGCACGTGGAAGTAGAGGAGAGGGCAGAGTCAACAGGCAGCTCCATCTGAGCAATTACACCGACTGATTTCAGCCCGGTGACTTGACCCAGGTAGGGCCACCACTATGCCTTCATTTGTCACCCAAGCTCCAACCACAGAGAGTTTAACAAGTCTGTGTTATGATGTTGGCTTGGCTTTGTATTTTTAATTAACTCTGGATTTTTTAGTGGTTTTGTCATATTACTGTCTGAGTTTGGTAGGTAGGATTAATTTGAAAAGAGTTTACTAGTGTGGTCCTCCGGGTAGAATTTAGCTGTAAGCATGTTGTTAGCCAGCCTGTAGACTGTTAATTACTTAATAATCTCATTGGGAAAATACTAGTAGTTTTATATTTGGATGACATAATTGGAAAAGCAGATTAGCTGCTGCTACTTTTAAAAGACTTGAGGTTGGGATGCCTTTTTTTCCTGTGTAATGAAATTAAAAGATCCAAATCTTCAGGCAGTAACCAAGTTGCAAAATTAGATACCATTGGGTAAAATGTGTTTTGTTGTGTTTCCAAATGGATGGGTTTTCATTTGGACATTGCCTCGCAAAACACATTGAATTTGGACTGCATTGGAAAGATACTTGTTCTAGCATATCTTTCCTGAAGATGTCTAATTTGGATTTTGTTTTATTCAAATTTGCATCCCAGAGTTTGAAGTTGGAGTTTGAAGTTGGAAAGTACTTTTGAAGGCAGAATCGATTGAGTTGTGAGGATGAAATCCCCACATACTTCTTAATAGACATGATAAAATTCACCTGCTTGAGTTGGCAGGTGGGAGAACCAAACTGGATCACTGGGTAGGACTACTCAGTAAAGCAATGAACTGCTTGCTTAGAGAAGCATCACTATCCCCGTTAAGAAAAAAAGTGTGGCAAAATGATATGGCTACACATTGTCAAACGAATGGGTTGATTCGGTGTCCCCAAATTCAATTCTTTGGGGAAAAATTACTGAGCCAGTTGTGGGTGTTGTGATAAGCAACTGGCAGACTAAAAATTCTTCGTCGTTGTTGTTATCGTTGTTGTTGTTGTTGTTTCTCTTTTCCACTCGCACAGCCTTATTCTTGTAATTAAACTCTGATTCATTTTCTCTTTGGTGTTAGCAAACTCCAGCAACAGAAATAGCATCTGTGTATTGATAATCAGCATTTACCCTGGCAGGAGACTAATCAGCTAGGCTGGTCTCAGACATTAATTCTACCATCTGATATTTTTGGCGAAAGCAAAAGTATTAATTCCCTTTCCATACTCCTCCTCACAAATCTAGAAACCCTCTTTACCAAGAGCATCACATTTTACTCTGTAATCTACTGATTGAAAGAAAATTGCATTGTGGGGAGGGCAAAGGGAGGCTATGGGTGGGAGGGTGGTGGAGGGTGGGGAAGCCCCTGAAAGCCAGATGGCAGTTCTTGCCCCCTTTTGCTTCTGACCTGAGATGTTAAAGAATTATTCATAGTGCTCACTTTGGGTTAGGAGACATTGAACTGCTTTTCAGATCCATGATCAATCATCATTCTTCTAAGAGATTGGAGCTTTGCTGTTTCATTAACTGTGCAGTGTAGACTAATGGTGTTTAATAAAAATCATTCAAAATTTCAAACTCTTTTGCCAGTGACCTCAATTTTGTTGGCTCTTTGATTTGTATCAGACTTTGAGGAGGGAAGGGGGAAGCAAAGGAAGCCTGTTTCCAGTAGCCAACTTCAGCCTGCCTGCCTGCCAGTGGTTGCTGGTAAGCAGCAGCATGCAGACCAGCTGTATGAAGCCTCCTGAAGAATGCCCCAGTGGATGCTTCCGGCTGGCTGGGAATAGCTTGTTCCTACTGGGGGACTCGTTGTTCTCCAGTCTCTGCAGCAGGAAGCCAGCTGCCATATCCGGAGAGAATTTCAGACACTTTACCTTTTCGTTGTGTCCTGCATCACTCATAGGTCTGCAAAATAGAAATGTCTCTGAGAATAGAGCCCAGTGTGGTGACAACAGGTAGTCAATTGCATCCCATATACTCTGTGCCCTCCTATGGGTCTGCAGCACCTATGAAATTGGGGCAAAATGAGCCCCTGTACAGGAAACAAAATGGAGAAACTCCAAAGAGGCTCGGTTGATGCTTGTTGCCCAGACCAAGAACTAGCTTGTCCTTTGGTCAGCCTGGCATGCAACCAGTGGTAGGCTGGTAAAATGTTTAACAACTGGCTCATTGAAAATAGAAAGCACCTGACTTGTAGCATTTGTCAACTTCCAAATAAAATACTCCCACCGTGGCTGATTTCAAGCCATCAGCTGTGACGTCACTAACCACAGGGCTGGAAAGAAATATACTGAGTTGTCTTTTGCAAGCTTGGGCCAACCAGCTCCAACACACTACTGGATGCAGCCAATCCAAGAAAGCTCAGATTTCACTTATCTGTTCATGTGGATACACACACATACACTCCTCTACAAACACTTCAATGGCTAAAACTATTACATCTTTCAAAAATATGAATCAACCTTCTATGAGTGTAGATAGTTTATGATGAGGTCCTAGAAGTATGGGCTTCACTGGTGGCCTGGTTTCAGGTAGGACATATCTGAAAAGAATGAAGCCCTCTTGAGCTGAAAGAACAGATGGATCAGTGGTGACAGTTTTGTCATCTCCTCATCTCATAACTAAAACAGAAGTGAGACAAGTGATTAGAAAACCCTCATGATTGTTTTTTTTACAAAGGTTAGGTATTTGTTCTTTTATTATTATTATCACTATTTTTATTTCAAGTGGTATTTCTAACTTTTAAGTGTAACCTAAGTATAGTATTTACCACACCTCAACCCAAAAGTCATTGTGCTGTTTTCTTGTAATATGGAAATTCAGTAATTCTCTCATCTCTACATTGTTGTTCATAAAGTTTTTACTTTCATTAAGGAATCTAGGGGGTTTTTTGTCAACATTTGCTTTTCAATGTATATTACTGTCCTAGTTCTGAATTCAAACCAGAATATCCTGCATCAATTACATGACTAATATTCAGAAATGATCATCCAAACCAAAATAATTATCTTTTCCACCCAATATAAAAAAAAAAACAAAAGTCACTAACAAGAAGGCATAAACTTCAGTATATTTTTCTAAGAGAAGGGGCTCTCATTAGATACACACACACATTTTTATAAGCCCCCTTCTTCATAAAGCATCTTGAGAGTAGAATATAAAGTCTCAAAGGATCCATTCTCTGGTCTTCTGCAGTTACTAAGAGGTTTGTACCTGGAAAGATGGAAGATTTTGCCCTAAAATCTTATTTTTTAAAAAACATTTCCATGTCTGTCTGGGCCTGTGTCCATGGTTAAATGTCAGCACTGGAGGAGATTCATGTCTTGCTCTTTCTTTCTGGTCTTTCTGTCTTTTACCTCTGCAGTTCTTTCTGTGGCTAGCACAATAGCAGGGTCTGGGGGGTCTTTCCTTTCATGATATTCTGACATCTGTCCTTACTGGAGAATGGTAACATTTGGGTCTGGTTTAATTGACATTCCACTTACACAGGGACTCTGAGTCCCCCAGGCAATGAACTGCTTTTCATGGCTACGAAGAGTTAGAAAAGCATTTAACATCATCTAGCGCATACCCTATTGCAAAACCATCCCCACTGATCAATCATATTCACTCACAAATATTACAAATGAGATTGAACTTGTCTCAAGACAATTTGTTGAGTACATAGTTTTCTTCCTGGATGATTCTACTCTTTGGATGTTTTAGAAAGAGAAATGTCTATGATGTAATCCCTCACATTTATTTGAATTTACAAATTGCGGGTTTTATTCCTATTTTCATTGGAATAGTGCTTCTGAAGATTGTTGTAGTGTTGTTGTCTATAAAAATTAATATGTCAGTAGTGAGCCTCATAGAAGTACCATGCTCAGAAACAATCCTTAAGATCAGAAGATACCTAAAATTCTTCCCCTTTCACACTTGGTTAGATGAGTGACATATTCTTTGGATCCTTCAAAGAAGAGACTGGTTTATTTTTTGTTCTGGTGGTGGTGGTGGTTGTAGTTGTGGCTGTGGTGGTGGTTGTTACTTGTCTCTATTTTCTGACTCTGGCTTTTGCCTTCCTGCTAGTGTTCTTTCTCGCTCTGAACAAATGAATGGTTAAATTAAATGTGAGCTTCTGAATTGTACTTGTTTATGCTCTTAAAACATAACAGATTAATAAAAATAGAAGTGTTCTGATTTATAACATGCCCCCTGGAAAGGCATGCTGTATTATGAAACCATGATAATATAACTGCATTATTACATGACAGTATAAATATTAGTCTGTTGAATTCATTTGTCCAATTGTATAACTTTGTGGAGCAGTGTTTTGACCTTTGCTACATAATCTTGGAGCAAGTGGAGTGGTTGCAGGCAGATGAGACAGTGTTTATATCAGGATTTTTCAATGAACTTTAGTTGGAGGCCTGACAATTGCAAACATCTTCAGATGTTGCTGTCACCATTATAAATACGAACAGCAAATCTCTGTTCAAGAAATTCCCCAGAGCACTTCAGTCAAGACGTTTTAGGGTCATCTTCTCTTTTGCTTTCTCCTTTTCTTTTTCCATTTTTTTTTTTGGAGAGAGGCTTGTTATTAATGACTGAAGAAACATTCTGATTACAATGGTGTATTTCTCTCTCTCCTCTCTCTCACTTCCTCTTCTCTCCCCCATCCCTCCTACCTCCCTCCCTCATTAAAATATTTAAACCTGGAGTCTTTGGTAAATCTGCATTGGCCCAGTCTATATGCCAGGAATGAAATCTAGGCAGATATTGATGGGTTTAGAGCAATTCACATTCACTGAGCCCTTTCACACCCTGCACCAATAAATGACAAGAAGGACAGGGGTAGTTTTTGCAGAGGGGCCACTTTTCTAATATCTTCTGAGACTTAATGCAGTTTAACAAACAACTCCACCTAATTTTCCAATAAGTAACTTGACTGAGACTTGCAAAATACCCCTGAGAGTAGTCAGGGGTGTCTTCTGCCTGGTCTGTAGTGTGTGTGTTTGCTTTGTATCTAAGAGGCACATTCACGTCTTGTGTGCTCGCTTGAAGTGTTTTCTAACATTCCCATTTGTCTGTATATAATAACCAGAAAGATAATTCTAATATGTTGTAAATGAAGATGTGACTCTATAATCGTTCTCTTGTTCTTGGGGAAAAATGACATTTTCATGCATATTTTAAACAGAAACTTTGTATATTTAAGTGTCATGGAAAATATTTATTGAGTAACTGGTATACAAATGGAAATTTACTTGTCATCATATGCTTCGTGTGTGGGGGTGCTCACCAACACCATGTCTCTGGACCATTGTGGCAAGCCATAACTGCACAAAGAGAACACATCATTACTGTGTGTGGGTGTGTGTGCGCGCACACGTGCACATGCACACATTCGTGTGCTTATCCATGCATGTGCAACATGTCTGGCTTGCTGTTCTTCATGAGATTTTAGCTTTCCCTTCTTGAAAAAACATTGTTTTAAAGTTCTAGGAGGCCATGGCTACATTACTATATAAAGGCAGTGATTTGAAATGAAAACTCTCCCTCTCGGAAGCTTTTGTTATAATATGATGATTTAATTAAATGGATTCCACTGGCCTTTGTGAGGGAAGAGGGTCTGTTCAAATCGAACAGAGTTTCCTAGAGAAAAGTGTAGATCAAGATGTATGGGAAGGAAGATGGAGGCCACTTCAGCTGCAATAACATGAGTTGAGTTGAGCCCTTGGGGTTGGAGTGGGCTTGCTCCAAGTTGCAGCTCAGATCCTTAAGGCTGATGTCTGGTCTGGGCTCCCTCCAAGAGTAGAGAGGAGCAGAACCATCAAGAACAGCCTGGCCTGGCTCCTACCAAGAAAACCACTTGAGGTCCTACCTCTAGGGAAAGACCTTTTCCCAGGGGCACCTCAGGTGGCCATTAAAATGTGATGATCATTCAGAAAGTGCCCCCTTGGCTTTAATATAATCCAATTAGTCTTTTTAACCATTGTTTTTTGGGTGCAGATTTTCAATACTCATACTCATTCTAGATCCACCAACTGTCTCTGTTCTTTAACAAGCATGCTTGTCTCGTCAGAATTTCAGTAAGTTCCAGTATCCTGAATAGACCAGGGTAAACTGTTCTAACATCAATCAATGAATGAGATGTTATCTGGTTTTTAAAAACTGATTTCATGTGCTTTCTGTGTATAAAAACGTATATGCCTGTGTGGCTTTGCATTTCAAATGTGTGGCACACAAAGCGTTTTGTTGGTGCGTTGTTCTCAGTACAGTAACTCTGTGTATAAACATTTTAATGTGGTTTTGTTGTTTTCCAACAAGATGTCTCTGTAAAAATGATATTGGCTGAGCTGGTGTGTTGGTTTTTCTCATAGAGGCATTAACTATACTGCCAATGCATTGAATTATTTAAAAATGCAAAATAAAATTTTTATGAAAATCTCATTTTAGATGTGTAAATTATTCTGCTTATAGACTTCCCCAGACCCAGTACTTTGTCAACACCTCTTTCACATTATAGTACATAGACAGCATTCGCATTTAGCTCAACAGCTGTAAAACTGAGAGCCATAAAGAAAATAACTCTCACAAAGCCAATTCACTTAATAGGAGAGACCCTTGGACCATCATTCAAAGCCCATTTAAGAGAAACTGGTAAAGTGTTTAGTTATCTGAATTCCTAGTACACAGCACAAAAGGCCTGCAAAGTATAAAGTTATAAATGCAGGAGATGCTGAGAGAAGAGACGGAGGAAATTATAAAAGTAGACTAAAAACTTAAAACACAACTGGCAGTGGCCATTTACTGCAGCGGCATGTAACCACTAGCCTGGAAGGACAGAAAAAGCAGTAATTTCAGATTACAATGATTGAAAGTCATCAGGAAAAAGTGATCTTAAGTACACTCTTTGGACTACTCACTCATGCCATATATTTTAGAACTATCTATTTCAAAATGCTAAGCTTGTTGATGGTTAAAAAGTAGATGCTTTCAGAAATTTCATTACTACAGAATAATTGAGTTGATGACTAATTCGTAGCATTTTTCTTGCCATGCTTTCCTGGATGGCATTCTCCCCATACACAGCACAAATGTCTCAAGCTGTCTCTGCTGCCTTTACTCTTTTATTCAACTCAAACAGAAGACTATGTTGGAAACGTTTACTTTTTTTCTATTTGACACTCCATCTTCTCTACCCTACAAATAGCACTAACTTTCTTCAAATCTGCAAAATGCAAGGCGTATTCACAAGCACAACATTGTCACTCCAAATGATTAATGACAAATGATAAACAAACTCCCCGCAAGACAGTGTTGCCATGCCAAAAACAAATGCTATGAACTTATGCATCAGCTTAATATTTTCTGGCCATGCGAAGTGAGGAATTTTGCAATGCTACTATACAACATAAACACCTATCGGTAAATGCAACATTAGCAATCAGCTTGGTTGAATTGCCTGTGAACAAATGAACTACATTTGACTTGGCCATACATCTTGACTCTGCATAATCATCATCATAGTCCAAGTGTGAACACTGATGTAGCTAAATGTGGTTAAAACTGAGAGTTGTCACACACCACTAAGAATTTCAAATACATTCCAAAATATGTATAAATATGAACATTTTTCTTGTGAGATAACGAAGAAATATTTTATCCAAGTAAATAGAACTAAATGGATTGTCAATTTTTTCTCAAGCAGCCATGTTGTTTTAAACTTAAAAAAAAAAATCCGCATGCCACAAATGATGACCATGATTAGGTGAAAGTATGCACACATACAGAGACGAACTGCCAGGAATTATGCAGAATGACATTTTTTAAATGAGAGTGTTAGATTATGCTAATTGATCAGTTTGTGTGGCGTTTGTAAGCACCAGTAAGGCACTACTAGCCAGACACTATTCCAGCATTTTCTTATATATTAATGCATGTCATCTTTATAACAGCCCTAGGAGACCGGTCCTAGCATATCTCTGTTGTATAGGCAACAACATGGAGAAACAAAGAAGTAAAGCAACTTGCTTAAGGTCATACAGCCAGTTTGTCTTTGGACCAGTGTGGCCCCAAAGATCTTGATCTTAACCACTACTACCTATTGCTTCTTATTATTAATAATGCTATTGGTCCTATGGCATGTATTATTTTCATTTTAGAAACAAAAATAAAGAAGGGCCCTGAGCCCTCAGGGAGTGATGCTCTCTCAGTCTTTCCAGAGGTCTTTAAAGGAAAGGTATTGACCCAGCCTTCTCGAAATACTGAGACCAGGGTGTGAGAGGAGTCATCAACTCAGAAAAGATTTGGTGAAATGGGTCCCCTTCGGCTTCTAAGTAACAAATAGAAGAAGAAGAAGAGATGACACCACCTTCCTAGCAGGTAACTCTGGCTAGTATAATGACCAGGCCTAAGATTTGTAGAGCTTTAATATCAGCTCACTTTAAGACAAGCCCAGCCCTGGTCTAACTCCCGTTGCTTGCCTCTGAGGTATGACACTGATTCAGAAGGGAAGCAGAACATTCTAGGGTAGTGAGTACCCTGGGCTTTGAGGTGAGATTTTAGATCAAGTTCTCACTGCCTGACTTAAGTGAAACATATAACCTTTCTGTACCCCACTTTCTTTTCTACAAAATAGAATTTATAATATCAGCTTTCTCCCTGCTACCCAGAGATGAGCAAGATGCCATATAGACTGGTGTTTCTCAAACTGCGTTACCTCTTGGCAACTCTGAAAATTTTGTCTCCCCAAATAATTTTTCTGACATTACCAAGACAAAGAGACTGAATTTTCTGAGGGTATGAGAAAGGCAACTTCAAGGTTGTATAACAAAGGATTGCCACAAGTGGGAAGGCTGTGCCCAAGTGGATCACACATAAGGCTAGGAATACATTGAGTCTCATGTTTTGGAGAAAGAACATGTTTTGCTTTATCAGTTTCTCTAGGAAACACATTTTAGGCTTAGGTGGAAGATTTTTGTCTCTCTCCCCTTTTATTAGAAAAGGAAATAAAATAGCAAAAATGTTAGCTATGATACAAGAGGGATCTATGTAATTTGGTAAGGGGGACTTGCCAATACGTTTTAGGTATAGTCATGTGAAATTAACACATTCTGTCAGGGCCCTTTGCAATTGTACGGGTCATGAGCTGGGGATCTGCTAGAACTAAGAGTCACACAAATAGTGTTATGAGTACAGAAGGCCAGTGAGAGGCAGGGAATGACTTTTAATTCCTGTCTTTCTAGCTCTGGGTCTCTCTACCCTGAGAGAATTTGGAGGGGTATTTAAAAATGCATATATCCAGACTCACCCCAAAGATTCTAATTCCATAGGTCTGTATCAAAGGTCTCTTACATAAGTATGCTTTAAAGCTCCCTTGTTGATTCTCATGTAGAACAGGATGAAGAACCAGGATGAAGAACCACTATTCTAGATTTGTCAGAGGAAAAGCCCAGTTGCTCATTTATCCCATCTGCCTTTCTCAGGAAACAGGAGATAGAGGTGTTTCTAGTGCTCTAGAGAAAACATCCCACAGGAATTCAAACTCAGAGCATTCTTCTCCAGAGAAGGTATTTCCTTTCATGCTTTTGTAACTCTCCAGAAATTTTCCAGTCACTCAAAATGCAATTCATTTTAACATATTTTTATTTCCCAAATAAGATAGGCCCTACAATAGGCCAGAGGTATAAACGGGAATTCACAAGGAGGGATGTAGCTCTAGAACATTCTCTTAGGCATAGCTGAACTTGGGCAGAGGCCTGGTGGGGATCTGAGATTGTCCCAGAACACCTGATTCTGAAGACACAGCAATGAATGACCCCAGTAGCAGGAAGGGAGCTAAGGAAGCTTCTCTCACAGAGGTTCATTTAAAAAGTCCCTCCCCACATCCTTGTTGGACCAAAGCTCCTGCAGGACAAAAAACTACAGACTAAGCAGAGGGGGCAAAGCTTCCCGAGAGTCTCCAAGTGCTATGTAATTGGGTAACCCACCGTCTCTGCTTATGAACCCCTATGGTGTTTACATCTTCCCAATAGTCCAGGACTGATTAGCTCAAAAGCCCTGAGCATCAAACTCAAAATTTTACACATCTAATTGCTTCAAATATAGTTCAAGTCAGCACATTTTAAGCCATTTATAACCTGCTTGTTTGGTATGCCTCATGAAACTATGCCTGTCATCTGCTAAGCATAGATCAGATAACCCTGGGGATATAAAGATCCCATATCACAGCTGCCCTTCGGAACTGTCTGACCCAAAGCCTCCCTATCCAGCTGCTGAATAGCATCACCAGACATGGAAGCCCATTCGCTGTCCCCCTCCTCAGGGATTTCCCTTGCTCTTTTCCCTTTCCTGGTGGTGGCCTCTATACGTTAGCCTCTGGAAAGTCTCATCCTGTAAAAGACCTCCCTCACACCTCTACAAGCAAGCCTGTCAAAGAGTCACCCAAATAAAGCTTGAGTGCTACTGCCACCTGATATCATGTCTTTTTTCTTGATCTGTCCCCAAATTCCTTGAACTCACTACACCACACCAAGCATCCAAAAAAGGGCCCCGCAGGGCCAACTGACAGGGTAAGGACAAGCTCCATTTGGTGTCTCCCTCTTAGAAAGTCCCCAAGCACCCTGGTCACCACTAAGCTGAATAAGTCTTAGCCCTGACTCACTGGAAAAGTCCCATGATAGCTATCAAACACATCCTAATGCATTGCCCTCACTGGGAAAGAGCCAGCTCCCTCAAACTATGGTCAAAACACTTCCAGTGTCCCATATGTGAGTAGGCTGAGCTCTCGCTCTACTGACTCTCTGACTCCAGCCTTCATACTCCAGCCAGCTGGCTAGTCACCTCTGCTCTTACTCTGAACTTCGGGCACAACTCATCTCACACACTGTGACACAGGATATCACCATTCTGGTGGAGCTTCAGATCTTACCAGTTCCTTAAGCTCATGCCAGAAATTCTGATCTAATTCATTTGGGTACTGCACTCCGCCCTTCAACCCTCAACCCCTATACATGCGTAGTTTGTAAAGCTCTCCAAGTGATTCTCATCTACAGTCAAAATTAAGAATCCATTTTCTAACCAAAGCTTCTCCTGCTGGGCCTGTACCCCATATTCTTCTGCCCCTACCAGTGTCTGACATTGGTGGACTGGATCTTTGCATATGGCTGAATTTCTGGACCCATAGACCATCTTTGGTAGGTCATCAAAGGTCATTCAAAAGCCACTGGATATTTGGGCTTGGGAGCTCATATTCAGACCCCATGTTGTACTCCTTAGATCCCTGAATATTCTTGAAATAGCCTGAAAATCCCTGTGGAATCTATTACCAACAGAAATAGTCATCCACAAAATAATTATAATCTTTACTAACCTAGCTGTCAAGTGCAAATTGTATTCCCTTATGAGTTAAGCCATGCCAGTGCCTTCTCAGAGTATACCCTTCACTT